TATAGGCCATGGTATTTCCATCATTCATAAATACTCGGCTTAGAAAGTAATTGTCCACACATAAAAGTAGATAGTCAAAATTTCAGACAGCCTAGGCAATGAAAGTAGACATTCTTAAATTAAAGATGTGTATCAAATAGAAATATTCAAAAAAGGGAAATGGCAATCAGGCCTCGGTGATGGGATACTCAAAGACTACATCTTTTCCGGAAAGCTTCCTGTAGACACTAGAATAAGTTTCTAACTTGTATTCTGTGTCATTCCTGAACTTCGAATCCAATAGAACCTTCATTATTTTTGAACCATCAAGTCTGTATCTGATGCGCTTCCCAACAATCTCAGCTGGGAACACTAGGTCCTCAAGAATATCCTCATGCACAGCTGTAAGTGTACGGGAACGCGGCCTCTGTAGAGATGAACCCTTCTTGGGAGGTCTCACTACCCTTCGTGTCACGCCCCGGACCGCATCCGAGCCACGTAGACAACCGCCGTACAACCCGATAAGAACAACAACAGTTCATCCCTATTGAGTTGTACAAGGCGTCCGATTGATTCTATTGCCAAACCGATTAGTAAACACATACAATCAACATCAATATCATAATCAAACCAATGCGGAAATAATAAAATGTTTGATACTTAGCCACACGTGGCAAACACGGGCACGCAGGCACCCAACTGTTTTAATGAAAATATTGTTCAAAAATCCATGAGCAGTTTATACATTTGAAATAAGAATGGAAGCACGAACCACGTCTTCCTTCTCGATCAATCACCCTAGGCAAAGGTGCAGGTAGTAGGACTCTAGCCTCAACCTGAAAAATGTGAGGTCCCCCGGAGTGGTCAGTACTCCATAGAAGTACTAGTGACAAGCAGGCTATATGAAGAATAACTAATGTTTCAGACACGAGACCCAAAAATAGGGTGATACATATATATATGTGACTCATTCATCCGATGATACATAGTGTGTATATATATATATGTAAAATACTCGACCCGTAGGTCATTTCATTCAACGAGTCTTTTAGAGATAAAGTTCTTACCTGACCTTTCTCACCCTTTTCCCGAATGCCTAGCTCACCAGCTACATTCTACATTCATAATATCCTACCGTGTTTTGGGAGCATTTAGCATCCCGGGGATACTCAACCCCAACCGAGTTTCAGGATCATTAAATGTCCCGGGGATACTCAACCCCAACCGAGTTTCAGGATCATTAAATGTCCCGGGGATACTCAACCCCAACCGAGTTTCAGGATCATTTGCAGTCCCGGGGATACTCAACCCCAATCGAGTTTCAGGATCATTTGTAGTCCCGGGGATGCTCAACCTCAACCGAGTTTCAGGATCATTTAATGTCTCGGGGATGCTCAACCCCAACCGAGTTTCAGGATCATTTATAGTCCCGGGGATGCTCAACCCCAACCGAGTTTCAGGAGCATCTAATGTCCCGGGGATACTCAACCCCAAACTAAATCCTTACCAAACCCTAACCTGGATATGGCTAACCTTTCTTTCCTTCAACTATGGACAATATCTAGCCCTATAGTCATATAACCATCCTTAGGAACCAATGTGGGCGGGTCCCACCTGAACGGTCCACACTAACCCGCTCAATCAGTCGAGTACAGGAGGCGGTAGCCCCCAAAGCTAATTTTCAATGTATACTCAATCGAGTATCTACCCATACTCGATCGGGTATAAGAGGCAGTAGCCCCCTGGGCAATTCTTCAGCAAATACCCGGTCGCGTATGTGTCAATACCCGGTCGGGTATGGCAGTTGACTTGGCGGTCAACGCCCTTTTTGACCACCCAAATGGAGTCCGATTAACTTGAAATTTTATACACATATACTTCTTGATGTCCTTGATCCAAAAATACCATTTTGGGTCCCTGGATCATCACACAAAATATGTTATCACATTTTTAATCACCAAACCTACATAACATGCTTTTCAACTATGTTTTATGCAAAATCATGGCATAAGCAAATACTTGATTATCTTTAATCATTCCACAAAACATATCCTTGATTACTTTAGGTAATCTCATGCCTCACGCAAAATTTATAAAGCATAAAGCCGTCTTCTCACCTTAATGAAGCTTATGAAGTTCTAGCCTTCCCGATTTAGCTCCGACGAAACTCCGGTGAACTTCAACGAACTCCGGAGACAACTCCGGCGACCTTTTCAACTCCGTGAAAGTTCCTTGAATACCTTAGACAAGTTACTAACAAGGTTTTATCATCATAAAACCCATAGTAATACAAATAACCTCTAAAAGGTTATTTTCCGGCGAACCGGTCGTTTTGGCTTCTAAGTCCGTTTTTGGACTTAGAATCACTTTCCAACCCATTATTCCACACTTAAATCATGTAGAAAAATACTAAAGGTCTTTCATATGATATATATCTTATATGCTAGAAGAAAAACAAAGGAAAAGTTATGATAAGGTCATTACCTTAATTTTCACACTTTTTCCTAGCTTTTTCCTTCTTTAACTTCCTCCCAACTTTCTTGTTTGAGCTCTGCTCGAGTTTTGCTATGAAAGATGAAGTTGTAGAGATTATTTCCTCCTTTCCCTTGATGCTGTCCGAACTATTGAGGAGGGGGATGGGTAGGAATGCCCCTTTGTCTCTATTTGGGCAATGAGTGAAAGAGAGGAGGGCCACCATGATTTGTTTTGATGCCAAACATCTCAACTCAGTCCTCTCCCACCTCACCTCACCTACCAGCCGACTCAAGCCTTGAATAATGTGGCTAAATTCGTGGGTTGGCCCCCACCCATGTGGGAGGTCAACCTTTTTTGTCCAGAAGTGTACAATCGGTCCCGAAAGTTGTATTTTCCGGACTGTTTTAAGTATATTTTATTTTATCGGGTCAAATAAAATATAACACTTGTTACCAATCCTTATTGGACCCTAGAATCAATATGCATTCCCCAAATTTAATTTAGAAGTCTCCGAAATCCCTTTTTGGGTTGTTATCTGATAAATTTGCCGATACCGATAATTTGGCCCTGTTTGACCAACCGGTCAACCCTGTGCCATTGCTATGGCCCAATTAGGATATCCACCACCATATACATATTATTTAGTCCAAGATTAATATAGTATGTGGTCCCGACAATATCGGGCGGCCCCACATCCGGTGTGGGCCCCACGTGAATTTTACTATTCACGTAATAGAAATGATAAAAATTTACAATCACGTAAAAACGCTTTTATACATTTCTCTGGGTTCAATACATAATTTGATGAAGTACAAATACTTGGGGGTGGTGTTACAAGTTCTACCCCCCTTATTTGGGATTTCGTCCCCGAAATCCACGTGTCTAATCAAACAGAAATGGATATTGTTCCCTGATCAGGGTCTCCACTTCCCACGTTTGCTCCTCGACACGATCACTCTTCCAAAGTACTTTTACCATCGGCACCTCTTTGCTCCTTAGCTTCTTTACCTGTCGGTCTATGATTTTCACCGGCTGCACCGTATAGTGTAGGTCTTCTCGGATTTCCACCGGTGGTTTCTCAAGAATATGTGACGGGTCCCGCACATACTTCTTGAGCATAGAAACATGAAATACATTATGAATCTTTTCTAACTCCGGAGTCAACTGAAGTCGGTAAGCTACAACCCCAATCCTTTCAAGGATTTTGAACGGACCTATGTAACGTGGGTTAAGCTTACCCCGACTGAGGAACCTGATGATCCCATTCCAAGGTGATACCCTCAGAAATACCTCGTCACCAACCTCAAACTCCAACGTCCTCCGACGTTTATTAGCATAGCTCTTCTGCCGGTCTTGGGCAGCCTTGAGCCTATCCTGTATGACTTCTATCTTCTCCTTAGTGATCTCGACTAACTCGGTGCCCTCGAGCTTAGCCTCGCCGACTTCGTCCCAACACAATGGTGTCCGACATTTCCTCCCATACAATGCTTCGTATGGAGGCATGCCTATAATTGCCTGATAACAGTTGTTATAGGCGAATTCCACTAAAGCCAACTGATTGTCCCAGCTCCCCTGGAACTCCAAGGCACATGCCCTTAACATGTCCTCCAAGATCTGAATCACACGTTCAGATTGCCCATCCATTTGAGGATGAAACGCGGTGCTAAACCTCAATTTCGTACCCATGGATTCCTGGAACTTAGGCCAAAACCGTGATGTGAACCGTGGGTCTCTATCCGATACTATAGTAACCGGAACCCCATGCAGTCTCACAATCTCATCTGTGTACAATTTGGCCAACCGCTCGAGCGTATAGGTAGTGTTGATAGGTAGGAAATGAGCGCTCTTGGTCAGCCTATCGACTACCACCCATACTGCGTCGTAGTTCCTAACCGTCCGTGGTAGACCCACCACGAAGTCCATGGTAACATGCTCCCACTTCCATTCTGGAATGGTAAGTGGTTGTAATAACCCTGCCGGGTGTTGGTGTTCTGTCTTAACCTGTTGACAAGTAAGGCAACAGCTCACGTATTCTGCAATCTCTCTCTTCATCCCCGACCACTAGTAACTTTCCTTCAAGTCCCGATACATCTTTGTACCGCCCGGGTGCATGGCATACGCAGATGAGTGAGCCTCCTCAAGGATAGATTTTTGGAGCTCCTCATCCGATGACACACACACTCGTTCCTTGAATAGTAGAAGTCCATCTTCTCTCTCACGGAAACCCTCGACGGGCCCCACAAGCATCCGTTCCCGGATTTTCTGAAATTCCTCGTCATTGCCTTGACATGTTCTGATTTCATCTAATAAGGTGGGTCTCACCTCAAATCTGGCCAATAGCGCCCCATCCGTGGATATCTCCACGCGTGCCCTCAATGCCCGTAAGCATGTGAGTAAAACCCCTGATGATGAGCTCTTCCTGCTCAGTGCATCGGCTACAACATTAGCCTTGCTTGGATGATAGTCAATGATCAAGTTGTAATCCTTAATCAACTCCATCCATCTCCTCTGTCTCATGTTCAACTCTTTCTGAGTGAACACATACTTCAAGCTCTTGTGGTCGGTGTAAATGTGACACAACTCCCCGTAGAGGTAGTGCCTCCAAATCTTCAATGCAAATACCACAACACCTAGCTCCAGATCATGTGTGGGGTAGTTTACTTCATGCTTCCTCAACTGCCGAGAAGCATAAGCAATTACCTTCCCTGATTGCATCAGTGCACATCCCAGTCCCTGAATGCTAGCATCGCTGTAGATGTCATACCCTAACCCTTGCACGGGCAAGGCAAGCACTGGTGCTTCGGTCAAACGTTTCTTTAGCTCAAGAAACCCCTTCTCACACTTGTCATCCCACACAAACTTAGCCCCCTTTTTAGTGAGCTTCGTGAGTGGAGATGCTATCACCGAGAACTTTTCCACGAATTTGCGGTAATACCCCGCTAAACCGAGGAAGCTCCTTATCTCCTTCACGTTCTTTGGCCTCTCCCAATTAGTGACCGCCTCAATCTTTGAGTTATCAACTGAAATGCCCGAGCCCGA